AAAATACGATGGTGTCATCAATGAAAATTCGTGCTAATATCCGCAACGCGACAACACTCCCGACGAAATTAATGAGAAATTTGTAAAAAATTTTTCCTTTAATCGGTCGCTGGAAAATATTCGAAGCGACAAAGGTTTCCTTTAATTAACAGCGGCGCTAATGAAAACGCCCCGACGTCAGGGATTCCGATAGGTCAACGAACTTCGATAAATAATGACCCCGAATTCGTCCTTATCCCAACCGAGCGATGGTCTCTTTCTCTGATGCACGCAGAATTCCCAGGCACGCACGCATCGAAACATCTGAGACACGCGTGGTTTCGCGCTGAATTGTTAGAAGCTGAGCACGAGCCCGGTTCTGGAATTTCTGGACGCCGAGGCACGTATGGTCGGACGCGTGCACACGCGTGCATTAAACATCGAATATCGATTTCAATACCTGAGGTATTACATCGTTTTTGTACGTTCTTGTTTCGAAGATATTGGTTTAGAAATGGAATCTACGCATCGGCAACAATTGCAGCTTTGAAATTATCCATTCGTCGTTTGAGCGCAGGCAGCACTGGAAGGAGCTACCTGTGTTCGACAAACTAAGTTAACGTTTCTTACGTTGTAATTGGCTGACGGAATTGTATAAGCCGGGACGAAGACGAACGAGGAAAAGGGGGACGATATTGTTGGCGTTACACCGGTTACCGCGTCGATTCAATTCAGAGGAATCTTAAGAGCGTAGGGATGCTCGAGGGGGAGTTTGACTCTCGATGCGTGTCGCAAATTGTCGTGAATTCGCGTACGTCGTTCTAGTCCCCCTCCAGAATTCCGGTAATTTTGGGAAATACAACAAAGAGGGATGTTAATTGCTACCGAGAACGAGAAGCACGATAATTGGTAGCAGATAGCAGGGTTGAACTCGCGAGGAGAGACGGAACGGTTTTCCGGAACTCCATGCGTCTCCATGGAAATTCGATTTACGCCCGCGCCCCGCGTAGCATATCGAATCTTCGCTGATTTCTAGCGAGAAATTCGCGAGACGAGATTGCGCGAGGGGCTAATTCGACTCGGGGTACGATTTTCAATTTCATCCGCGCCTCGTTAGTCCCGACGCGATACAGTCCTTAAACCGTGGTTGAAAACCCTTTGACGTACCGCTAAAATGCGTTGCCAATGCGTTAAACGCTTTAACGATCTGTAACGTAAGAACGATTTGAAAATTGCTTGGTGCACGTGGAGCTGAGTCGTATAAAATATTGCGTTGTTTTAAATGACGGTTTCTCATTGATTCAGCTGTTGGGAAACCGAAAGATTATTCTTGAACAAAAGAAGTTGATCAGAAGTGGCTGTCACTTCGCTTAGATTCTAATCCGATTTCTCCCATTTCGGTTCTCCTCGCGGCCGGAAGAAAAGCTGGTTCACTCGGGTAGAAACCGGTCCGGCGCCTCCGTCATCCTTTTTCCACGATCGTCATCTGTACGCGTCGACAATGAACCGGCGCAAATCTTCAATCTCGTTTGGCAAATGGCCGATCTCGAGGCCCTCCGGTCGTTTGCCAGTAGCCGGTATAAAAGAAACGTCGCTGGTTCTTCGACGCGTGTTCCCTCGCTGCGAGAAATGTTTCAGAGCCGCATTGTTCGTCATCGCGTTCCTCTTCCAACTAACTTTTTTGTTTCTCGCCTTTCTCGGAGAATATCTTCAGATCCGTGTTCTCGCTTCGTTCTCGTTTCTCAAAAATTGACTGATGCATCGGATCATTTGAAATTCTCAAACACACTTCTTTGTATCCAATAACAGATCATCAAGGCTCGACTTGTACTACTTAAAATTGTTGTTAGACTTTTCCTCTTCACGCCGGATTCGTAACTTCCGAGTTTTCTACGCTGGCCAACTTCTATTTCCTACTACTCCGTTCCACTATTCCCCGTTACGTTTCACTTGGCCAGGAGCGTCCTGGTGGCGTCTTCCATTTCCCAATGTAACAAGTTTTCCTTTTCATTCGAAAACGATTTACCGAGCCACGTCGCGAGTAGCACTCCTTTTCGAGATTCCGCGATATTATGAAATATGCCACTACGGTTGAAACAGGGGGTGTAATTTGAGAGGATCACCGGGAAATTTCGCACAATTCCATTGTTTGTGGTTAAGCGCTTTTTATTTCTCATCCAGCAAAGAGTCTCTACTCGGTCAGACCAACGTTGTTGATAATTTGAAGATAGCACGCGTTTCGTTTGAATCGATGCTTCGTGAATTTGCTTGCGAAAAGCGTGGGACTTTCAATAACCCGCGTTAGCGGTTAGATTCTGTTTCCGAGAACGGGGCAGATATCTGTAGAGAGATCGGACGAGTTTCGGTTTAATTCGAACGTCGAGATGTACGCGGCCGTGGCGGCTCTAATCCCGTTCGTGCCGCGTTGGCAGTACCCGCGATGAAAGGCGCGCCTTAATTTTCGCCGTTCGTTCACGGGAAACGTCGACGGCCAGAGAGAAAAAGGAACACTGGTGAAATACGATGGATGGTAATGAGTCCGGTACGACGCTTCGAACTCGACGGATTTTCGAAAGTTATTCGAGGATTTTTCTTTGTTCGAGCTCGGCGACAAGGGCTTCCCGTCGAACGGGATCGCCATTCAATCCCGCGATTCTTTCATTCCTCTCTCGTCCTTGAAATAATATTTTAATTGAGACCCTCGGGACTTGACGCTAATCCGCGACGGGAAACCGCTTTCAAAAGAAATGTGCGAAAATTTTATACGCGCATGCTGATCGCGAGAAGGGTCTCTAAGGGACGACAAAGCTAATTCAGTGTATTCCATATTCCATATTCAGTAATTCCAGTTTTATCTTACAAATAGGTCGTTAACATATTTGTAATAATTGATAACATGTTAAAGAAACATATTTGTCGTGCAGACCGATGGAAGCCGAAGACCGCGTCAAAGCTTGCAAAATTAACCGAAAGCAGTCGATAGAAATTCAATATTTATAATTCCAAAACGACGTGTTTCCCTCGACGTGACTTGCTTCATACAAAATAAAATACTTTTCATCGAATCTTCATAAAGATCGAAACAAAGACAGCTTAAGAGGTCGAAAACGTTTTCCGGGAAACGGGAGCCACTTGGCTCGATCTTCGGAGGGGAGAGGGCTGAAATCGCTTCCGTCTCCACGGCGCGTGGAGGAGCCGCGATCAAAATTCACCGGGAGCTCTTCACCGTAATTCACCGTGACGACTCGCGCACGGGGAAAACCTGAGAAAATCATCGTGGAGGACGTGCGCTTCCCCGGCAAAGAGCTCGAATATCAGCTAGAATCCTTTTGTTCGCGTGTGTAGATAGCGTACGGCACGCCGCGACATCATGCCATACCGCGGGTTCATTTGTGCCGTGACAAGAAAGGAGCAAGGGTGAAGGGACGTTACACCTCGTTCAATAACGCCGGTGTACCTTCTTCAGGCAAGTTACGAGCTTTCGTCGAGAGTACTTGCACGTTACTCCTAGAGATGATAAACAACATTTTCTTGCGGAATTTCACTTAACGAAACTCGCATCAAGGAACAAATTGACGAAAGAAGAAGCGTTGCGCCTAGTTTAAAGAATCGTGGGAACTTGTAACGGTCTGTGAAAGGTCCTGTAGTGGCTGGGAGGGGCAGAATCGGACGAAGGGGCGCGAGCCGGAGGCAAAGCCGGTCGCAGAGAACGAGAGAATTTAATTTCTCGGTAACATTACACCTTAGGAGCCTTATTCCAGCGGCTTTGTGCGCCGCCGGGGGTGGCGCAGTGAGACACTCGATCGCAGGACTCCATTTGCGGTTTAGCATAATGGAAACCCAACGCGCCCTCAGGACCAACGCGCCAGTGCCACCTCTCTCCCTTTTTTGCTTTCCTCTTTGTCCTCCGCCGTCTTGCCGGGGAAAAATAAATAAGTTCCAAACACCCACGCTTGATCTCTGGATCGTGACTCTCGTGTACTCTGTACGATATCGTGCAAAATTTCGTACGAGATTGATTATTCGATCCTCGATCATTAAAAGCGACTCACTTCTGTATGCAGAACGTGAGAACAAAGACTCATTGTCAGTCTCACAAATTCTTTTTTTATATCAAAAGGAAATTAGAGCGTAGGATCGTCGTTTTAATTTTAACAGCGAGGCGGCAATTGTTTCCGAGGGTCACTGTCGCCCTCCCCGTGGCCGGAGCTTAATGACCTCTAATGATAAGCTAAAAATACCCGATCCCCGGGCAAGATCGAGGCCGTAATGAATGCAGGGGAAAAACTCGCAGAACTCAGTGATACCATTTTCAACGACGCATTTGTTATGACGGGACAGGATTTTATTACGTTTTAATTCGCGAAACAAAGAAATTGGAAGAACAATTGTCCTGTAGAAATTTAATAAACGAGCGACGAACGGTCCGCGCGATGATCGTCGTTTAATTGATATCTGAATCGTTCGTATAACGAGGATTAATGTACACGTGCATCGATCTGGAGAAATAGTCAGGTTTTTCAGCGTTGCATGGCGAAACCGCGTTTATTCGCAACAATTGCCAGGATCCTTACGCGATAAGCGAGGGACGCTTTTATTCACCGAGGTAACAAATTTTGACGCCTTAATGAACGCCGGATTAAATGTTCCGGGCTCATTAACTCGACGGATCGGCGCGAAAAGCGAAAGAAAAGGGGCGCTCTCGCCTCTAGGATATTGCCGGCTGAAAAAGAATTACACGGGTAATCGCCTTGCCAGTTGGGATAATTGCAATTGACGGACGGAACACAAAGGGTTAGCTTTCGCCTCGCCAGACTCTTAATTCACCCGAATTCCAATAACTTCCATTATCGAATTAAGGAAAATTTATTTCAAAAGAAAATTGAATATAAGGAATATTCCATGAATAGAAAATAAGAACATGGAAACTGGTTTCACTGAGAAATATTATTACGTCACGTTGTTGTTTTGTTATAGATACAATGGCACATTCTGTATGATATATTTCTGTCTTTTTGCAGAGGGGCTGTGATGAGGGAAGCCGGTTAAGGGATCCTGTGTCGCGCAGGCGCCGCGCCGGTAGGAGTACAGGAAAGATGCTGCCATCCTCGAGAGCTTTATTAAGCCCGCTGCTGCTTCTAATCATCGCTGGAAGCACCGGTGCCTTCAGCTCTCGACAAGGAGGTAAGAAAGCTTCTTCTGTTGCTTGGAAGATGTTTTGTCCCGAACCGAGTAACAACGGGGACGACGTCGTAGACGCTCGTCCTTCGTCAATTTTCCGAAAAGTTTTCTCCAACAAATCTGGTTAAGTCGTTGACCGAGTTTCGGAACGGTCCGAGTATTCTCGTTTCCGAACGACGCTCGTCCCGTTCGTTTAACCGTTGAACGGATGCAACCAAGAGACGAAGATCGAGGACCTGTTGGATGACGACCTAGTTAATCCTATTTTTAAATTATGCAAGCCAAAACTACTCGCCCCGAGCCAAGTCCTGAGAATAATGCTCACTTCCTGTTGCGTTAATCTTATTTACCAATTTGTTGTTTTCTTTTTCATTTTCTCGGTGTCGAATGTATTTACGGAAACTTGAATTTTGGTGTATCAATTATTTTGTATAAGAGACAATTGACTGACGCTTAAGACTGACCCTTTCAAGGCTTGCTCTTTTCTTTTATCGACGAAAAGAAAGTGCACGTTAGTTGCGCGGCGGCGAGTTGCAGGACTCTCGGAAGTTTACCGAAAAATCCGTGTAGATCCGGCGACAAGTTTAAGGGGGATGTCTCGAAGCCGGCGGAGCAACATTTTAATTCGCCGTCGCTTGCGCGGAACTAAGTATCGCCGGGATCCGGGTAGACGCATAACCGTTTCATAACCGATCCGCGAGACAACGGTGGCCCAAGCTTAATACAGGCTGGCGCCGTTTCTTCGAATTACTGTAGCTTCTGAATCTACACGACCTTATTTCGGAAAAGCTCTCGGAATACACCATCCCCCAAAGGTACAGGACCATAAACCACTTTACCCTTCAGTATCTTGTAAAATAAATCTAATATTTCTCTCAAGTCAATGCATAGGAAGTGTTCTTTCCGAGCAGACGAAGATCGCGTATAACAGTTTATCAGTTTGCACATCCTTAAATAATTAAATAATTTCGTCATTCTGCAGGTATGAAAAATAATAATATGATCGTAACTAGAAACACGGTCCCATACTTTTGGTGAACGTAATAGATGTAACCAGACGCGTGCGCACGTTTACCATCCTTACCTTCTCTGTCTAACCGTTTCTATCCTGGGTCAGACGTTATCCTCTCTGCGACCGTTTGTCCGCGTTTCGCTTTGCTTGTTCCCTCGTGGAGGGAACACCTCTTAGTGGCCATTTCCTAGATTAAGGTCACCTGGAAAGCAAATAGTTGTTAGAGGTAGAAAGAGGAACTCCTAGAGGGTGTCCCGTGCGAACGCTCAACTTCCGGCGTGCACAGCTAGACTATACGTATTCTGGAAAACTATTTACGCGCGAAACACCCGTCGCATTTCAGAGATACCGGGACAGATACGACGGAGCGCGACTGGGAATTTCTGCGACCCTCCACGCTCGATGTAAACCTCATTGTTTTCCTTCTCTCTCTTCAACCCTTTCCCTTTGCTCTGGATACAAGCTTTCTAAACGAGGGTGAAATACCTTCTGCGAATGCTCGTTTCTATTCCAGGCCGAATTAATCTTTGACTCTTATTTAACGCTGACTCTAAACAAGAATTCGCGCAATAACGCTTTGCCCGTGTCCCTCGACCGGAGCATTCATACGTATGAATTTCATTAAATTTTCACCGAAACGAGCAATGATATTCTTGTGAGTACGGATGAAAATCTCAAACGAGGGAGGATCACAATTTTGACCGTATCTGAAAATGACAACGCCACTTGTTTCAATTGCGCCGAGCAATCCGGATTACAACTGTGGCTGTGGAACCCTTGAGATTTTATTTTCGCGCGCGGTTCAGCCCCGAAAACGACGCCAATATCGTAACCCTTTAGACTTTAGACCGTGCTAGAGGGGGAGACGGCTGGTTGCAGCCGCCCCCATTGACCCACTTTCCTTCGGCGCGGCGCGCGAACGGAATTTCAGCGACGCGCAAAAAGATCCTCGAGACCTCGACCCCCTCGCGAATTAGGGTCGCCGCTCCTTTGAATGTACGATTTTTTTTTTTTTCACATCATAGCAACTCAGACTGCACTTGATATACTCCGCTTGCAAAATTTCTCAAATACAGGAATTCATACACGATATTAACGTACGGTACGTCTTAGAATCTGATGTATTTGATGACTCAAAATTAAATGGTGTTCCAGCCTATGAATTATTAATAAGAAAGTTTGTCACCACGCGGGACATCAAATTTAATACAGGACCGACAATAAGGGAGTAGAAATAAGCTGAGAACGAGCCGATTTTCCTGTTGGTTTCGTTGGGGCTCGCGCCAAATTGGGTCGGGTCGAGGAAAGCATGTGAAAATGGTCGGAGGGCAACAAAGCCGGGGTCACGTAGCTTTCTGTTTGAAAAAGAACCAGCCACGTTCGTTAAGGCGCCGATGCGACGAAACAGGAACAAAGCTAAAACTGTGTTGCTGCCTAATTAAGGATAAGTCGATGAACTTTTTAAAAAAAAGGACGTGAAAATTAGCCGAGAGCACAAAAGTACTACAGAAAACTAGTCGTAGTCGCTTCCACTGGATAATAATTATGTTGATCACAGTTTTGTTACAATCAGTTTTTTTATATTTGCACGAGAAGGGATAGGATTCTAATAAGGGGAACATGATTTACAAAGAAGCAAGAATGGAGGAAATGGAATGGAACGTGAATTAAGGATTCGAGAGGGGCTAATCAGCGTTCCCGTTTTAAATTCAGCCTGGTCGCGTGCTGAACGAGGCGATTTCGATCTGATATATCGACTCGACCTCGATAAGCGGCGTGCATCGCCGGGGGTTGCGAAGAGCCCTTGAATTCCGGTCGGGCAGCGAAAAAGGGCGAGAACTGGAAAGTAGAGACCGGTGTCCGACATGTGCTAACCGGGAACAAAGCTTCGCTGAGGCTAATAGGCAACGCGATTATACCGTGCCGTGCCGATTAACGTAATTACCAACAGAAACAGAGTTATGGAATAATGAAGTTCCTCTATCAACGCGCATCTACAGCTTAAGGAAATTTGTCCCGTTTAGTTAGCTCGATTCACAGCTCACGTTACATCAAAGAAACTAGGTTTCATTTGCGATCTGAAAATCAAAAAATTGTTTCGACACTCGTCTTTAACAGTAAAGTCGTATTCAAAATAGAGAAGGAAAAATTGTTCCGAGACGTGTTCTTTGACGGCAAACGCCATTTGTCTTTGCCCAGTCGCTTAAAGCCTTTGCGCTCTTAATCAGGCTTTGGGTTTTTGTCAGTTTGTAAACGACTTTAAGCGGCGAGAAGCCGCGACGCGAGAGGCGACACAATGAAAACCGGCGGCCTCGCAATTACCACGCTCGCGACGCTTTAATAAAGCGGAGCATAATCGCGATGCGGCGTGTAAAGAAGCGAGAGAGGGATGATCCAGGCGCGTTGGCAACGGTCGCGGAGAGTGGCCTCGTTCGGAAAGGATTCGTAATTAAGCGGAGTCGCGTATCGCGCGCTTTGATCTGGACTCGCGACGTCTCAGACGAGATCGCGTTTGTTCTCGCGTAATTCCTTTTCACGCTTGTTCCCGGATTACCGACCGTGCCGCTTGAAAATGTGCCAATTAACAGTAACCAGATGCTTTTGCACATTTTTCACAGCAATATCACATCTCATATTTCGTGCAAGATTTTTTTTTTTCTCAAATTGAAAGCCATTTTATTCTATGATAAAAGATGGTGGAAACTTTTTGAATCGTGTCCGAATAAACTGAAACGGAGAAAGGGTGAGAAAAGTCGTCTGGACGGTTTTTCCGATTTCGACTTCTCGTCTCTCAGCCGACTTGTCCCGACAACTCGCGTTTCGTGCGAGTGGCCGTCAGATAAAACTCGAGGTCCCCGGACACGCGAACTTCTCGCGCGAGCGTCTCGGTCCCGAAGCGATAAGAGGCGGAAAATTCACCGAGAGAGCAGCGCTCTCCTTTATGTTTTAGTTTCGAGCCTGATAAATTGTTTACTCCCAGGGAAAGTTCTCAAAGTGACCCCCGACTTCGCCCCCTTGTCTCGACGTCATAATGACCGGCGCGATGCTCTTTTTCTTCGGCCGGACGCTCCGCGTCGTTTGCTCAAGAAACTCAGTCACAGTTTCGCTGAGAAAAAAAAAGAAAGCGAGGCGTCTTTGCGGTGGAAAAAGTTTTCCGCCGCGGAAGACACCGTTAAGCAAATCCGCTAACGAAACTGGGTCAATTTGCTACGGTTCTACGCGCGCTCTACTGTGCTTGTATACAAGCGGAATGCGAATAATGAGGAAAAGAATCACTCGTATCTGATAACAAAAGAGTCTCTGTAAAAATTATTCGTTTATATGTATGAATCGTAACTATCGGGAAAAAAAAGATAAAACGTGTCCTATACTTAACTTATAGAGCCAGTTTTGTGTCCTGCAAAGATATTAGAGAATGGTCGCTGATAACTGTCGATACAAAGAGGAATGGAAACGAGATATCGAGCGGATGCATATAGCCGAGCGGAATTAATATTTCATACGTAGAAAAACAATAACGGGGACACGTCGAACGGATCGAGCACAAATTTAATTCCTTAAAAGCCAGTGCATTTCGAGATCCCAGCTTTTACCCGGGCATCGATTTGCTTTGTCGCGAATGAACCGAATAAAAGCCTAGATAAATTTTTCTAATAAAAATTTCGCGCCTCTAAATGAAAAGAAGACGAATCCCTCGTTTGTAATTCGGGAACATCCGTCTATCTCGTATTTTTTTTTGCCTCTGGTTTTTTTGATAAATGCTGTTTGGTAGCATCGGTTTGTTCATAGATTTTTCAATCGCTTAATCGGCGCACTTTGGCAAAAAAAAAAATATCGACCAAATCTATCTCTAGCGGCGAATATAAATAATAAGTGTGATCATTTACGAAGCCGGCAGTCCGCGAGTCGTTATTAATGGATTTTCGTTAAAAGCGACGGCTCTCTTTTTATATCATACGCGAACATATAAATCGCTTTATTCCCAGCGTGACGCTATAAATAATTTCGGTACCCGCAGGGTTTTTCGACCCGCCCACTCGACGATCTTCCATATTTAACGTCCATTTATCGCGTCGATGAAAGCGACCGGTTCTTCCAGGAACAGGGGAGTAAATTCCCGTTGCTCGACGGGACTAAGGCGACGAGCCTCTAATCCAGAAATAAATGTTCTGCGGGATTCGAACCGAACGGGATAGCGTGCCTTACGAAATCATAAGACAGCCGAGGGGAAAAAAGTGGCGAAGTTTCGCTCGACGGATCCATCTGGCCGACAAAGTGACGCATGAATAACGAAAACCGCACGGTCCCATCAAAAATTCTATGGAAACCCTGGCAGCCGGTGAAAAATACTGCCATGAGGCAACTTTTCGCAATTCGAGTTCAATCAAGTGTGCACAGAAAGTTTGCAACGTGGAATACGTGTAAACTCGGGCAAGTAATCCCGATCCTCTCGCATTATTCATAAGAGGATAAGACTTTACATACTTATTCTTCATTAAGTTTCAATTATTACATTTGCCAAACGTGAACAATAGATTCACAGGCGAATAGATACAATACGTCACGTCATCTGACCAGCACTTTCCGTATGAAACTAGTGGCCAAGGGAACAGAAGAGAGAAACATTTAATTCTGTTTGCGGCGAGCGTGGAATGACGGCCGTGTGCCAGAATAGAAGATCGGAGACAAATGGTCGCGCATACTTAGCGAGCACTTGACTGTGACAAACTACCCCGTGCATATACACGCACACAGAGTTTCTCGGTAGAAATCGTCGGTCTCAGAAACGGCGAGCGAAAGAGGGGTTGTTCGTAAATTGTACTCCACGGAATGCAGGGCTTCTGCTGCCTTGGTTTAAACCCTTGCGGATTGCCCGGGGCGACAGACGAAAGCGAAACATGCCCCGGGCTAAATAACACTTTTATTGCCTCTGTTTTTCTTATCAAATTTTTCCATATAATCATTGATTCATTTTATCATGAAAAAAACGTACGTTATAGAATATTCGCAGAACGAATCGTCACAACGTCAGATTAATTTTTATCTCTCTCCTTTTGCGCGAAATGCGCATTGAACGATATTTGTAGGGCGCGCACGGTTGACGTTATTCAATGATTTTCTTGAGGGATCGTGCCGAATCATCGACGATCACGTATCAATTATCATTGAAATGCAAATATTTTTTTTGTCTCAGGTAAGTTG